CACCAGGAACCACTAGCAAAATAGCAATATCATAATAAATTAATTATATTCTTAATTGTTTGTCTTGTATCAGATCTTGATTTTAGTCTTTACTAGTCTTTCTATCTCTGAATATACAATATATATGTCAGCATTATCATCATCATCTCTCTCATATTGATTCTTACAACATTTTCTTTCTCTTCCTCGTTGTCAGTGCTTATAAAACACTAGAGACCCAGTGCACAAAATTCATGCGGGGGGGGGGGGGGGGGGGGGGGGGGGGGAGAGAGGGCCCTCAGCCTGGCATGCACCTTGGCCTGCAACCTGGGAACCCTCGGGCATCCCTCTCACAATCTGGGACCGCTGGCTCCTAACTGCTAGCCTGCCTGCCTGATTGCCCCTCACTGCCTCCTGCCTGCCTGCCTGATCACCCCTAACCACTTCTGCCTAGGCCCCTGCCACAGTGCCTTTGTCCAGAAGGAAGTCAGACATCAGGAAGATGTCTGGTCAAACCAGTCTAATTAGCATATTACCCTTTCATTAGCATAGATTATTCATTGTTGTCTTTTAGTTCTGCTTATTTAAATCTTGTGTTGTTTTAGCATAGAAACTTTTAAGATGTAAATTTGCATTTCTACCAAATTTTTGTTAACTACACACAATGTTGAAGGATATAATAATATTGCAGCAATTCTAACTGATATTCTGAGAAATATTAAGCATTTAATACCAAGTTCTGATTTGAACTTATGAATAATCATTCTCTGATTCTTTGCAGAAACCATTTTGATGGAAATATTTCTTTAGGAGTGTCATTTTGAGGATCTTTGAGGAAAAATTATTTATTCTTTTTGGTCTCACTTCATTATTGTAAAATGCTGCAAGAATGAAGGTATAACCATGAAAAGACTTCCAGACAAGCTGCGATGCTCATTATTTAACAGTGCATGTAGTTCAGACACATTTTGAAAAGTTAATCTCAACCTTTGAAGCACTGTGTGATCTAATTGGAAATATGGATCCTAGCAGATCAGCTTATATTTTGCTCTCTGATGAATCAGGTTTTTATTTTCTGAGTTATCTTTCTTTCTTGTTTGAAGTTTTAGGTGAAGTTAACCAAACACAAATGTATTTTCAACCATCTGGAATCAGACTTTAACAATGTACAGTGAAACACAAGTTTCAGAGTGGTTCTTTGAAGATCAGCACTTACTGGTAGACATTGAGAAGTCAGTCATCTGTGAAAGAATAAAGTGTAAGAAAATGAATATTTTACAGAAAACGAAACAAATGGGAAGAATGATGCCAGACAATATGATTTTTAAAAATGATTGTTTTTCATTGTCGGAAAAATCTAAAAAACAATTTTTGAATGCCTCAATTGTTTTCACTAAAAACTGGACACTCATTCTAAATTAATGAATCAAATAATGCGAATGTTCATGTCTTTCTGCTGTGTTCTCTTATTTTTGAAGTAAGAAAGTTCCAGAAGATCTTACCAAATGTTGTATAAATTTATTACAAATGTCATAAAGATAGTGGGAATTTTTCAAGTGTGGAGATATTTTGATAGAAAAAGACATGGATAGAATTGAAATTTCTGAAAAGTATAGTAAGTGGGATTTTTATGAATTGATACCAAATTTCTCCTTATAGCCAGGCAGTAGAAGTGATGTAAAAGAGGAGAGAAAATGGAACTGAGAAATATATAAGAGCTGGAGTCAATAAGACTTGGGTGTGGAGAACATGGAATCTAATATGACTTACTGTGATTGAATGAATGTTAGAATAATTGTCTGAGAGAGCACTGAGCACACAAGCTGGTCAAGGGCATAAATGAGGCAATGACTAAAGATGAAATGCTGGAGATTTGTAGTAGAAAAGTTTACTAGGCAGACCAGACTAAAATCCTGGAGTTTGGAAGTGAGGCCTAGGCCACAGTTTTGGAGGTTGGATCATTGTGAAAAAGAGGAAGCTGAACCCATTGAAGTGTAAGAGTTCACTGGACAGTGATAAGAGGGACACGTGTGGGACCCAGAGGAATGGTAACATTTATGGGGTGGGAGAAGCAGACTATTCAAGTAAAGACCATGTTTAATTAGGTATCAGATACCAAAGAATGAAGTGGCCAAAACTGATCAAGGGCCACAGAGAAGTGACACTGTGATGGTTTCGGCAAAACTGAATGGGACATGAGGATGTTAGGACATCAAGTGGCCACTACTCCTCAAGAGCTTTGCTCAAAGTAAAGCAGAAAATAATAATTATAATAAGAGATAGTTCTGGTCAAGGGTAGGTTTGATTATTTTTAATGGAAACCTCCCCCCTGCATTTTCTGATTATAAAAGGAGTATATATTTTTATAGTAAATATTCTGAAAAGGTCTACATTAAAATGTGAAAGGCATTGATCAGACCAACATCTAGTAATAGCATTACAATTGCTAGAAACCATCCCCTATTTTTAGTTTTCAAGAGCTCTTTGAATTTCTAGGGTAACTTAACAAAAGAGACAGAAAAAATGTTTGTTCAAGAGGAGGTTTTAACATGTCATTTCTTATGGGAGAGCTCAGTCAAATCTGACTCAAGAGAGGAAAACTTACAAAGTTTACCAAAGCATAACTGGTACAATGTTAATCCACCACCTACCAGTAACTGCCACCCTCTATCACGCTAGGTCAATAAGAGAGCTGGTAGGAAACATCATCCAGTGGTTTTGACTCAACCTTGGAATGTTCAAGACTTAAGTCTGGGTTTGTATTGGAATTTATTCCTACCTGAGAGATACAAGAAATAGTAAACCAAAAGCCCTATGATGGGCCAAAAGGCACACAACGCCAACACAGAGAAACAAAAAGAACTAATACAAAAGCTCTGAATTTAATTTTGGAGAAACATCAAACCCAAATTGAGAAACAGTCTACTTGATAACTGAGGAGTGCTCTTCAAAAATATCATGTCATAAAAAGCAAGGACAAGCTCTGTAACTGTTCCAGATGGAGGAGATAAATATACATGCAGTCTGACTAATAATACAACCCAATAGAGTGTTTGTCTCTGAAGAACATTATTGGGCAAATGAAGAGACCTGAAAAGGGCCTGAGGATTAGATAATAGAGGTAAATCAATATTAATATTTTGGTAAGTATACTGTTATTATGTAAGAGGTTATATTTAGGATTTGTTGTGATCACTGCTTGTTTGTAGGATGGACTCTCGTCCAAGGTTCTGTGAGTGAGATTTATGATGACAAACACATCTAAAGATGGTATTTGGAGGATTATTACTTACATAATTGATATATTGTGGGAGAACAGGGAAAGCTTCCCAAGCAGGTCCAGGAGGTCAGGGGTAGGAGACTGGCTCAGGATTTTCACTGAGGCTTAGTGGGTGGGGCCAGACTGAGGCTTCCCCTATATAGGTAGGACTTTCATGGTTTGAATATCCTGATGGCACCGAAGGAAGGAGGATCAGGCTTTCTCATCAGCTGGTTCAGAGGGGAAAGAGGGAATGAGGTTTAAAAACTGTCAGTAGTCAAACTTGAGAAAATGGAGGCAGATTATTTATCATAGGTTTAAAGAAAGGGGTAGTATGTCTGCAGCCTACCCATAAACAGATCATATATACCATATATCATACAATATATATATATATATATATATATATATATATATATATATATAGAGAGAGAGAGAGAGAGAGAGAGAGAGAGAGAGAGAGAGAGAGAGAGAGAGAGAGAGCGCGCAAATGTAAAATGTTAACATTTGGATAATCTGGATAAAGACTATATGTAATTTTTTGTACTATATTTGCAATTATTTTTGTGTCTGAAATTATGTCAAAACAAGTAGTTCTTGGTGGGTTTTTTTTAAGTAAGGGATTACTAGGCCATTTAAAACTTCCTTCTTGAGAAGAAAATGTCAGGTTCCTAGTAGAGAAGAAGCAACAAGGAGGCAGAGAAAGCATTCTAGGTAAATTTTTCTGAGTGAATTTCCAATTCTATTTTAATGATAGACCTCCTCATGTTTAAAAATAGACTACAGTACTAGCCACTGACTACATTTTGTTATATTTTCTTCTCACTATTTTTATATGCCTCTGTATACATGCATCTAAGATGTAAAATTTGTACATCTTTTAATTCAAGAATCCCCCATTAGAAAGTAACCCCAAGTAAAAATTATAAGTATACAAACATATGTTGTTGGTATGTTTATCACAGTATTGCTTATAGTAGCAAAAGGGGAAAGGGATAGGAATAATGTAAATGTCCTTACAAGAGAAATATGATGAGTTTCTCTGTCTGCTTATGAGCTATAAGAAGTGGGGATTGCAATGAAAATACATGCATCTTTTTAGAATTTGGCATGAACTAAAATGTTTAATGATTACTTTAAAGGATGTGAATCTAGTGTCATCAGTTGTTTTAATTTATCCAGCATCAATTCTCCAGTCTTTGGTTAACTGCACTCTCAAATTGGTTTTGAGAAACAATTAGTCCACCAAAGGATATAGTCTTGAAGAGCATTTCTATGAAGGTGCTGCTTACCCTGGCCAAGAAGAGCTGGGCATGTTGTATATTCCTAAACTACTCCAATCTCCTCTCCCACTCTCGCTCTCGCTCTCGCTCTCGCTCTCTCGCTCCCTCGCTCTCATACACACACACATTCAGAGTACATTCATACAGTGTTTCCCAAAGTGTGGTACGCGTACTCCCAGGGGTACAGGAAGAGTTTGGTGGGGGTATGCGCTGCACCATGCTTAGCTGCGCCTAATTTTACGTTCTCATGAGTACAAGGGGTACTCAGCGTTACAAAAATTATAGAAGGGGTATACATATGTCAAAAGTTTGAGAAACACTATCAGTAACCTAAAGAAAATATAATACCTGCTTTCCTCTCTAGATCATTAAAAAGACTCTACTCTTGAGTTATAAAAAAGAAAGACTGGTTTATCATCTTTCCTTTGATTTTGTGAGCTATGTCATGCCTATGCACTAATTCATATATTGCTTCATTTATGCCCTGTTATTTAAGATTCATTTCTGTAGATTGTAACCAAAGATAGCTAACAGCAACAGAGAATGAACAAGTGAATGAATGAAATAATGAACTACCAAACACCAAGGAAGTACACATCGGGGATTACCAAAATGATTACATTACAATACAGTCATAGAGGCAAGTTAAAAAAAATAGGAGCACAAATGAATTTAGAAGTAATGAAATTCACCTAGCTAGCATTTTCCTTAATCTCTTAACTTATGAAACTTTCTTTAAAGTCCTTTAGTTTTTATGAAGGTAGAATGAGATTTTTCTGGCAGAAGCTCATTTGCCTATTTAATAGTAATTACTAATCCCAACGGTTAATGTGGAATTGCTATTAATTTATTTTAATTTTTATATTCTTCTATAAAGGACATAACAAATGCATATATTCAGATAATCATTAGCTTCACTATTCTAGGCAAGTGAAATATTAAATAGCTATAGCATTTAAAAACTTGAAATAATATTTAGATTCTCACATTTATTATATTCTATTTATATTTTATTTCCTCAGAGAACAGTGAAAAAATGCTCATTTTGAAAGATGTTTCAACCTCCCATCATCATTAGATTTCCACAGTATAATTAGAGCATAATATTTAGAGTTCAGAGGGCAAATCGTTGAAATGAACAATTTGATCTCATCAATGACACCCTTTTGCACAATATATGTGACCTTTTCCCCCAATTTTTAAATGTTTTTAGAGTAGGTAACTTTTTCTGAAAGAATTACCATTACATCTAGGTTTACATTAGAGTCATAATTTTAGAGAATGTCAAAGCAAAGAGTTTAGAGATAAAATGTGTAGGCCAAACACATTTGTGGTTAGCAAATTGCTAGTTGGATGTGTGGGCTGAATTATGGTATCTAAAATGCAACATATCCTCTAATTATCACACAATTCCTGCTTGAAAGTGTAGGGAAAGATGGATTCAGTTTTAACTGAAGCATCTTGTCATGAACTGTAATGAGTAATGGAGAGACCAGCTTGGAGGACTGCCCTTATAGACACCTTCTGAGGCAAGGATTGGGGGAAGCGAAAAGCAGTTGTCCACCTGGAACTTATTCCTGCCTCCTCTTACAGGCACACCAGAGAGGGACTCTTTCTTGCATAGTCATGTTTCTTTTCCTCCACTGGTGGTTGCATTTCAATGGGCCCTAGAGAGAAAAAAAAAAAAAAAGAAAAAAAAAAAGAAAGAAAGAAAGAAAGGAAGGAAGGAAGGAAGGAAGGAAGGAAGGAAGGAAGGAAGGAAGGAAGGAAGGAAGGAAGGAAGGAAGGAAGGAAGGAAGAAAGAAAGAAATCAAGGAGTCCAGTCTCTGGCTAGCCTTTGTGCTAGGCTTCCACTAAGCATTCTCTTAAGAACATAACCATTTGGAAAATCAAAGTACATTTAAATGATTATATTCTGCCACTTAAAATATATCTGTAACCACAAAGCTCAAGCTGTTGACTGTAGAAGAAGATACATATTTTTTCATGGGTTGGGAATGAGCACACTTACTTTTCAGTCTGAAATCATCTTGGGCTGACGTATTTACATTGTAGAATGTGTGGTAGACTTTGAAAAAAGAATTATCCTGTGTGATGTGGAGAAAGGATTTTCCAGGTTAAATTTTAAAGGTGTCTCTCTTGTATTTGACATGGGTAATTCTACAGTAGTAGTAATTTAATGCCGATTAGCTATGGTAAGTGTCTATCCACTTACCAGATGACTGTGTGTGTGTTGCATGCAGACAAAACCATAAACATAATACAGAATCAACAAATAGTCAGACTTCCATTAAAAATAGCTCATGGCTCTAATTTATTGAGCTCTTGTTGTGAATATATTATCTAATTTGATTCACATTTGATATTTACTTTCATCCTGCCCTCAGACTTGAAACTGGCATATTTGAGACCTCATGTATCCATTCTATGGTTCAAAATCTCCAAGGTTCACTCAAAATATGCAATTCAAATATAGGCTCCTAACTACCCCTCAGAGTCCCTGGTTGTTGTTGCTTTTTGTTTTCTTTTTAAATAACACTAAGGTTGAAAGAAAAACTTTAGTTTAGTACCAACACTTTCTTTCTTTTTTTTTTTTTTTAGTACCAACACTTTCAAATTTCCAAAATATATAAAGAACTTAACGTTAAACAAACAACCCAATCAAAAAGTAAGCTGAGAACCTGAACATACACCTCATCCAAGAAGATGTACAAACAGCCAATCCTAAATAATAAAGAGGGAACATGCAAATTGACCATCACTTTGCCACAAAGATGGATGTGCTCACAGCGGAGGCCAAGTTCCCGAAAAGCGCCTTAACTTTTCGGAAAATGCAACATATCCTCTAATTATCTAGAGGATATGTTGATAATTATCCTCTATCAATTAGGATAATTACCGTACTACCCAGCAATCCCTCTCCTGGGGATGTAACTGAAAAACCCAAATTCATGTATTCACAAAGATTTATGCGTTCTTGTGTCCATTGCAGCACCATTTATGGTGGCCAAGACATAGAAATACCCAAAGTGTCCTGTGATAAAGAATTGGATAAAAAAAGATGTGGTGCATATACACAATGGAATACTATTCAGCCATAAGAAAGAATGAAATACTGCCATTTGCAACAACATAGATGGACCTTGAGAATATTATGCTATGTGAAATAAGTCAGTCAGAAAAACCTAAGAACCATATGATTTCACTCATGTGGGATATAAAACCAAAACTTGTGAACGTGAACACAGACAGCAGTGTGGTGGTTGCCAGAGAGAAAGGAGGGGAGAAGGAGATTCTAATATAGGGTCAGAGGAGAATATTTGACTTTGGGTGGTGGGCACACAGTGGTGGGCATGCAGATCTTGTAACATAGAAACCCACACCAGAAACCTGTATGATCATGTTGACCAATGTCACCCCAATACATTAAATTTTTAAAAAGTATGGCTCTCCTTTCTTTGGTACTGAAATTATTTGTCATTTTTATCATTATTATTAATTTAAAATATAAAATTAATTTTTATTGAACATCTATTGTGTGCCAAGAAGTGTCCTGGTCAAAACAAATAAAAATTCCTGACCTCATTACATTCTAGTAAAGGAAGGTAGACAATAAAATAAAAATATAAGTTAATCATAAAGCATGTTAGATGGTTATTAAGGTAAGAGAGCAGAATAAAGCAGGAAAAGTTTGTGTGAGGCATTCATAATTTTAAATAGGGAAGTCAGAAAAGCTTTGTCAGAAGAATGTCAAGGAAGTTAGTGTGCTGAAGCTGAGTGAGCAATAATAGCAGAAGATACTGTACGAGATGAGATGAGGTCAGAGAGGGACCAGGTCATGGGGATTTTAAGTCATTAAATTGACTTTAGATTTTATTCAGTGAAAAAGGACCCATTAAAGTGTTTGGAACGGGAACTGATATGATTTAACTTATGTTTCATAGGCTCACTCTGGCTGCCCTATTGGGAATAAAAGCAAGGGACTAGAAAGGCAGAATCAAGAAAACCACTGCTAAGGATAGCAGTGGGGGCAGTAAGAAGTTGTCAGATCTGAGATATTTTCAAATAAGAGATAATAATATTTGCTGACAAATTGGATATGGGATGTGGGAGAAAGAACAACTCCTAGGTTTTGGTCTATGCCTGCAGTGTGGACTTGCTGTTGCCTGAGCAGATTTTGGTGGACTTGAAATTGGGTCTTTTATTTTAGACATGTTAAGTTGAAGATGCCATTAGACACCTAAGTACTGATGTGCGGTAGGCAACTGCATTTGTGTGTCTGAGGTTCTGGGAAACAGTCTGGGCTGAAGTTACACACTTCTGGGTCATTAGTGTTATTTAAAACCATGAAACTAAGTAAGACCTTCAAAGACTTATTTGTTGATAGGAAAGAGGAGATCTAAGGATTAAGTATGGAAACATTCCAACCTTAAGAAAACCAGGTGATGTGTAGGAGTGAGCAGAGAAGACAGAGAAGAAACATCTAGTGAAGTAGAAACTGGTGCACAGCAATCCAAGTGAAACAAATGTTTTCCATTCCCCCATTTGGGATTGGTAGGAGTTGATTCTTGAAGTTTATTTATTCTTCCTGTGAACAATTATGAGCAGTTATTTTGACCAGGCACTGTGCTAGCCACTATAGATACAGAGATGAATGACTTCCAATCCCATGTCAAGGAAGACAGATATCAATAAATGAGTCACAGTGCCACGGGAAAATCCTGTGACAGAAATATACAGACTGCTTCTGGAAGTCAGAGGAAAGGCATCTCAATCATAAGCATGGTCCTAAGGCCTTGACTCAAGAGAAGATTCCAGCTAAGTGAGGAAAGGAGGAAAAGAAATTTCTAAGATTAGTTTCTGTCTCTCTTACTTGTTTCTTTTGTATGAATATGTTACTCTACTGGATTATTTTCTTCTGTTTTATTTAGTTGATGCTATGTTTCTTCTCTGAGTCTTAATGCTTGATTTTAACTTAAATTATTTTATTCCATTCCACTTACATAACTGTCTTTTGGGATATTTTACAACTATGAATTGTTCTTTATTTTGACCAAATGTTATACCCGAAAACTATTTTTATATTCTCTTTCTAAACTTGTTTTTTAAAAATACTTCTTCCTTTTGAAACTCTATTATAGTCTATAGTTATGGCACAAACAAAACACAGTTCTAAGTCTAGGTAACTCCAAGAAATGTGGTGATTCCTATGAGTATGTTAAGAGACAAAATTTCAAAAGTTTGGAAATAGAAACAATACTACTGGGGGGGAAAAAATCAAATATCACAGTTTTCTCTTCTCATATCCATTTTCTCAAAAACAATCATAAGGCATTAGTTAGCCAATCTGTAGTACAGACAAATGTATTATTTCTATATTTGGTGAAATCAATTTTAACTTGCCCTGTGATTGATTTTATTTGTTCTTTTATTTTTTATTTTTTAAATACACTTTGCAGAGAAAACCTCCTACCAATAGGTGGCGTTTGGACTTTAGAAAAATATTACATACAGGTATATCTTGACCCAGGAAACAGTACACGTTGAGTAATTTAATTTCCTCATTTTAACATAACTTGCCAAGACATTATCTAATGTGTGGTTAGTGCCGTCACTGTTTTACATATCAGCCTGGTGAGCATTAACATATCTTGCAACAAGAATAAAATGATGAGGTAAATATTTTTATATCATATCCTTACATTAATAACTAAATTACTCACAATGTTCTCCCCAACAACTTATTTTCAACAGAGAGATGAAAAAAAGATGGTATAAGATTTGAAATTAAAAATATACAAACAAGCTGCTTAAATATGAGTTTATGTGAGGTAATTGAGATTTAATAGATCTACTGGTAAATATGGAAAAGAATATTTACATCATAAAGTAACTGACAACAAACTTTGCTTATATATTGAAATTCTCTCCAAAGATTTATAACAAATAACTTATTTGTAAAGCTGTCTGTGTTTTTTAAAGATTAAAGAAAATAATGGTGTTACAGAGAGTTACAACAATGGTATTTAGAAGGAACTGGGATGACTTAAAGAAAATAAATGCAGCTGAGAATGGCAGTTCATGTGAATATAAATTAAGTTAGTAAATCAAATCTGATGCAAGAGTGTTCTTTAAGCAATGCAGCCATAAAAATACAGTTTTATTCACTATAACCTTTTACAGAGAACAACAAAATCATGATGTTTAGCCAATCGATCTGTTGTTTCACAGAAATGTTTTACTACGTAGAGAAGGCAATTGATTTATTGTAAATCATTGAATAAATCGAGGAGTAGAGTTTTAAAGTTCCTTCCATACACCAACATGTGCTCTGAATTAATTTATCCATCTCCATCTAAATTGTTTGGAGATGCTTGAGGTAGGAAGTCACTTTTGGCCTTTGATAGGATTCTAATTTGTTTTGCCTTTTCCAGGGGGAAAGTTAATCATGAGATGGAACTATATTATTTTTTTTTGTATTGCAGTATTATCATTTTAAATATAATACACTGTTTTACAGTTTATAGACTGTTATAAAACATTAACAATTAGATCAATCCAAGTCCCCAAAATGTAACTCTTCGGATGTATTGGTTAGGACTTCTTTAGTTGCACCTAATGAAGATAACTCTAGCTAATTTAATATAAAAGAGGAATTGATTAGAAT